AACAATTTCAAGAAATATTCAACATTCTGTTATTCTTTTCTGGGCGAATACTTGTGAGGAAATCCTATGTTTCATCCAATCTGATTCAGTCAAAGTTTTTCTGATTGAATTTTCTTTATTTCTTTTCATAGTATAATGTTTTCTTCTTGATGAAACGTTAATTTGCTCTGGATTCTTTTTGTATTGATTTTTTGAGGAAGTTCCAAGAAAATGTCCATATTTCGTGAGGGAACATTCATTCCAATTTATGTCTGTTTGTGCCTTTGGAAAAATAAAGTTAAATGAACGAAAAAAAAATATTATTATTATACAATTAATAAAATATTGATGGTTAAAATACCGATTGATGTACGGCATTAGTATTGCGCGATATTACTGGGATTAACATTCTTGCTCTTGTTAATTCTCTTTCCATAAATAGATATCTTTCTTTCATTTGTCTTATATATTCCAATAAATATCGATTAGATATATTTCCACGGTTACTAAAATGTGATTAATAATTTATTATATATTTCTTCGAATAAATAATTCATTTAATTTAGTATATCAAATTTCTTGTTATATATATGTATATATAAAACTAACGTTTGAAAATATAGATTATTTAGATTATTTGATTGAACATGATCATCATCGATAAAAATGAAATTTAAATCGAGCATTAGTCCATCATTTCTTAAATACGGTACGCTTATTAGTTCAGTAAATGGTATTCCATGTCCTTGACTTGGGGATAATTGTCGAATATAATCATTACGTCTTTCATCGTGTTGATTGTCTACAGGCTTTAAGAAAATTTGTCGTCCAAACATACTTGTTAATTTTATAGAAATAAATTCACAATAAATTTTGACAAATTTTAACTATGATCAAAATTAATATAATCGTTCATTTAGGTTGTGTTCTCCATCGTATATTGTGTTTTATTTTTTTCTTTTTTCTTTTTTTTTTTTTTCTATATTGCAAGTGAAATTTGCGAACATCGATCTAAGATTTATTTCTATTAATTATCAATAAAATTATATATTTAATTAAAATTTATTTGAATTATAAAGATCTTTTTAAAATGATATCAACATTCTATATTCAAAAACGTGATTATATGAAATGATACTACATTTATTGAAATGATACTATATTTAAAGATTTATTTTGTGTTTTTAAAATAAAGTTCGACGCTTCCTGTGTATATTTGTTCAGCATCCTCTGATTAATGTCAGTATCCATACAGAAATTTGGTATTTCTGAATTATTAGCGACTATTACGTTTTCTATCACGTCTTATTTTTATGAACTTTTATTAAAATATTTTTTTATCAAACACTGTATACATATGTACAACTATTTTTATTCTTATATATAAAAACAAAGTAAATTTTCATTAATTAAACGCACATTAATAAATATAATTTAAAAACAAAGTTAATAATATATTGCGCAATGTAAATTATAATTTTTTTCAATTAATTTATATGAAATTTAAATCAGATTTTATGAACGATGTTCATATAATTTCTATCTTTAGTAGACATTTTGATCTTATGCTTACATTGTATTGCAGCTATGTTCCGTTATACGTAAATTAAACGATACGTAGACTCTAAATGATTTATATCGTGTGTTATTATATAGATTAAATTCTGATAAAATTCTGATTATATCTCTTCTTGCTATTTATTATTAGTATATTCTATATATATTAATACAAAGAAAAATGTTAGTTTAATTCTGATAGTGAAAAGTGTAATTTTCTTGTTTTATTTTATCTTTCTATGGTGGAATGGTCAGTCTTATTAGAAATTTAAATACATCAGGTAGTGTGAGTATAACAGAAATAATATTTCCAATGAAATTATTATTTCATTGTATTCTATTTTCATTAGTCTCAATGTAACATAAACATAACCTTTTCTTATGAGTCTACTATTCATAGTTTAAAATATATATTTATATTATCATATTATAACATTATAATTGTACTATGAATTTTTATTGTATAATAATAATATTATATGGTTGCAAAGATGTATGAATACAAAATTGTATTGTAGGGAGCTGTATATTTTGACTCATCTCATAACATGGATGACGAAGAATATCTTCAACCTGTATTAACTTCTCAAGAACAACATTTCCATAAATTAGATACTGTTCTAATTACATTTATCCCTCTTATATTTGGTGTAAGTATTAATTTCTCTAATAAAACAAACAAATAATAATAACAATAATAAATATTATATGTTTGAAATTTTAGGTATCTTTAGAAATTACAGGAATTATATTTATAGCTGTATGGCCTGAAGAAAATAATAAATGTGATACATATTTTATATATTTATATCTTCACTGTGCATATTGGTTGTTAATAATGTTAACAGATCATTTAGTAAAAAGAAAACATCATAAGCTTCGTATTTATGGATATCTTGATTTTTATCAATCAACGTACCAACAAATAAGAACACCTCTTTTCATAGCATCGTTATGGATAACATGTTATTTATTATTAGCTGTGTTTTTGCATCACACACATAAAGTTAATTATGAACAATATTGTCGTGCATCAGAATGGTTCACACCATTAAATTATATAGTGCTTTTGACTACATTGGAACTTATAATTATTGTACCAGTTTATATAAATTATATTAGTAAGTATAAAAAAAGATATTGAAAATATTTATAGTATATAAAACTTCAGAAGTATAATGTTTTTTATTTTATAGAACAAGTTTTAAGATTTAATCGATTACGTCCACCAGCTGATGTTGCTAGAGAAGAATGGTTATCTTCTTTTACTCAAGATACATATGCAGGTAGTAATGAAGTAGGTTATCGTCATAGAGAATCTAATTTAGAAGAATTGCTTGAAAAACAAGCGGATTTAATAAGATATTTAAGAGATCATAATGTTAAGTTAAGTCATAGAATGATGCTGTTGGCAACCCAACGTAGATTACCTGAAGCATGAGATTCTGACAGAGTACAAGCCTTATATGTATAAGTGATATTTTATCATATATATGTAATTATAATATTAAGAGTATGAGACAAATACTTTCATTTTATAATTTCGTTCATTTTTGCTGTTATGTTAATATTTTCCATTATTTTTTTTTTCCCCTTTTTTATTTCTGAATACACTAACTTTTAATAATATTGTATTATTTCGAGTGTAAGGCTTGCACAATTAAGATCGGAATCATATGAACGTTCGTTTTTTTCTGATATTCGTATTATCATAATGTTTGAATTCATACATTAATTATTGGACAAATGTTAAATATTTGACATTATTTTTATTATTTAATTATATTAATTTAAAATAACCATATATTTAAGTGGCATTATTAAGTTAAAAAAGATATCATGTTATAAAAAATATACGTGATTATAAAAAATCAAAAATAATTTCTGTGATAAGAAATGTATATATCTAATTGAATAAAGTATATATTTTTTTCAATATACAGCACTTATAATTTTAGTTACATCTAAATACACTTTACATAATTTATAATACATATTTGTTTGTATTATATGAAGTTATTGTACTTAGACTAGCAATATCTTCAATACATAATATTCATTTTTTATTACATACTATGTTGACAAACATGATAATAAAACAATAATATATTCTGCATTCTTCAAAATAAGCTTCTTTATCATTGAGTTAAATGAATATACTTTTAATACTAAAATTAATCTTTTTAATTTAAAGTATGTTTTAAATATCATTAAAAAAAAAAGAAATTCTTTTACATTATATGTTTGATGTATTATGTTGAAAAATTTCTTAGCAATAAACTAAATGTTTCTATATATATATATATATATTTTATAATACATATGTATATATGCATATTTCTATAAATGCCTAATAATACCTAATTTATATCGATAAAAACCTGACGCAATGTGCACATAGAGACAAAAAAGATCATACTCGTGATTATTTGGTCCGTATTTAATGCGAACCTTATATAATATGTTATAACAATCGCAAAATAAGGTTCTCAATAATGATTTCTTTTTTTTAATGTGTAACTACATATATTATAAGGCTTCTTGTGGATGAACATCTTAAACGATGCATTATATTAAAAGAGAATTCTATTTACAAAAAGTTGACGTGTATTACGGCAGGCTTAGACTCCTATGCTATTATATGAATCTATATATGCTTCCATGGTATATAAAATTACTCACTTATACATATGGAACACTTAAATATACAATGCTATAAAATGTAGAAGCTTGTACTTATTTACTATTTATTTACTACATAGTTATAATTTCGACATTTTCCTTTGGAAATAAAAATGTTCTACAAAATGATGGTTTATTGAAAACAGTACTAAAACTGAAACTTCTCGTTATTTTAGTTAGTATTATATTTTGTTCTTTTTTTTTTTGAAAGTTTGTACTACACGTTTAGGCCAGCCATTTTTGCTGCGTATGTATATCGGATACATTAATCCTGATTATTTCAAGATTATAAAGAATGTATACCGAATGTTTTTTTTTTTTTATTATTGTCTTAAAGAAGAAGTTTTTCAGACTTCGTGATAAACGCAAATCGAGAATATGTTCCCGTATTAGTCAATTTTGAACATTTTTTTTGCCAAATTGTTCTAGAGCAATGAGCAACAAATTTTGTCAAATTTCGCTTGATCATTTCTACTTTTATATATCTACACCACTTACGAATATTAGATTCGTTTTAAGAAATAGAAACGAACATGCAAACGCTACAGCGTTTTGTATAAAATTACAGAGAAAAGCAAAAAGTTCGTTTCACATTTAAAGATCTATCAATTTGTGACGCGATTTTCGTCATAGTGGTAAGATTTCTAATTATATTTCCTACGAATAAGCAGTGATCAAGGATTTCTTGTTTTTAATTTGCACATTTTTTCCTATCTCATTTTGGTAATGTATCGTTGTTTAAAAAGTAATCTCAACAAATTTCATCTTATAGAAATTATACAGATAATAATTTTCAGACTATAGAAATATACGTTTGTTTAAAAAATAGTTTCCTCTTACATTTCTCATTGTTCTATTTTGAATCATCGTTATTTATTAATAAACGCACAAAACTATTTATTAAATCCACACAACACTTTCCGTTAAATTTCCAATTCGCACTTAAAGAATCGGCGCGTATATCGCATAGTCGCGGTGGTCCCAATCCTCACAATTGTTTTACGATGATTGTTAACGATGGAATCACGCGTGCGTGGCTCCAACAACGTTTCCAGTTGCCGAGAGTTGTTCCTCGGCTTCCATCATTTTTAATTTTCTTACTACCTGAGCGTGTTCCTCGAGTAATCTCGCAAATTCCCCTCTTCTAGTTTCGGCTTCCACTTGCATCTGCTTGATTTTTTCCCTAGGTCCGCCTGGACTGTCCAATGGCGTTTGGGAAGACGAGTTCTGAGAACTGGTTTCATTCGATAAACCATCCAAATCCGAGTTCTCGCTTGATATCGAGTGGGAATCGACATCGTCAACGATCAAGCTGTAAATTAAGAAAAAAAAATGTTAAAATTTGGATGTATTTTTTTGTTATTGTTATGTTGTTGATATCGAAAAATGGGTGAGGATAAATTAAATTTTATTTATCTATATTTTTTTTATGCTTAACAATTACATTTTATCTTATTTTTTTCAATGATTATTGACATTATTTTTCTTTCGAGATCTGATTAAACCAATTTATTGGTATTAATTTCGATCGAAGAAGACTATATACAATGAATTTAAAATTGAATTTAAATATTAAATATCGCTGTACGAACTTTGTTTGTTTACTAATGGTTTATAAGTGGTATGTTAAAATAACGGCAGTCGAGTCTACGTTTCGAATTTGGGTTTCGAGAAGCTAGCAGGTCTCGTCGCTAAGAGGGACGTGATTTTCGTAGTTGGTCTAAACTATCGACGTTCTGCCCTGCAGCATTCTAGTGGCAACAATTGTCGCTTGCGTCAATGTTACGTCATTGGTACTGAAGTACCTAGTCTAGGCTATAACGAATTGATTTTACGTAAAACACCGTGTATAATAATAATATAATTATTTGAATAACTTTACGAATAAGGACACAATAAATATAAGTAGAATTTTTTATTCTACAGAAATAAATATCTTTAATTTAATTACGATGGAAAAATGTTTTATTACGAGAGGAAAAAATTATAAATTCTTCTAATTTGCGTCATGGTCTATAATAGATGATTGCTTATAGCTTTGATAAAAATACAATCGTTTTCTTGATACATCTTTTAATATTAATTTAAAAACTGAAATTAAATATGATCATCATACTATTCGATGACATCGATTATTTTTCGGGCTGATTTTTCTATTAAACCGATTATGGATAAATAGATATTGGATACACCCACGAAAATTCTAGAAATAACAGACTTTCGATTGCGCGTTTGAAAATGTGTGCACGATTCGGTCAGGATAACCAAATCTATTCCTAGGTACGATTTGATCGAGGATTAATATTGATTTTGCTGTTTTTATGAACAATTATTATCTATAAGTATCTTCATTTTTTTTTATCAAGCATTAAAATTATTCGATAAAATCTAAATTAAGTCGTCTTAATTCTTAAAATCATATCAGTTTTTGCGTCGCGTTTTTTTAAAAAAAAAAAATTTACGATTGTTTACCTGAATGCACCGTAAATTTCTCTTCCCGATGCCATCGTTACTGCGATATCAGGCAACGATCCTGAAACAAAGAGTGAATTCAACAATTCTAATAAAAAAAAAAAATCTTTTTTATCAAATCTATTAACTCAAGTTCAAGCATGGATAAGACGCGTTTATAACGCTGTTATAAACATTTATAACACAATCGTTAAATGTAGTTTAAATACGTTTTTGTCATCGAATAGTAAAGCGTTTAATTTATCGTCAATCAAATCTCTATCGCGATGATTGCGACGGCGAATCTCTCTATGACGTATCATAGAATATTATTACACGCTATTTAATTTCAAACGTGATGAAACCACGGCTTTGTTCTCCCTGCCAAGTGATAAAATTCTCCTCCGCCTCGAGGCAACCGACCAGTTAAAACGAATTGAACGATTTGCGAACATTTTTGGGAATCGAGTCAAGATTATTACACTGACTCGATTGTCCTCCCAGGAAACGCATAATCGAGTTTCGTCTTATATATTGTTGACACGCGTCTCCGGCAAGGACACGATGCGTAAACGAAGCCCTCGTTTATTTCAAGAGACAACGAGCGCGCATATCGGAGACTACCGATATATATTCATGCTCGATATATATAACGTAATAAAATATCTTATCTTCTGAATTTTCTTCGCGAAATGGTGGTGGAAAGTAATTTTTCTACGGTTTATAACGGTTGTTCAATTCAACGTTTCGAAACGTTTCTTTTCTATAGCGAAACACACGGTAAAAGGTTTCATAAATTAAAACACAAATCAGTTTTTTTTCTTCAAGAGAAAGAAAGCGATTGGAAAATGATATTATCGTGACGTTAAAACGTTGACGCGATATTATCTTCGTTTGCCATTCATAAGATTTAATATATTATACGATTGCGATTTTTCAGCGATTTTCTTACGTAAATTGGATCGTTTCGTTTTATTTAACGAAGGATTGATCGGTTCCCATACCATATTGTATCAGTTCATCGAATATAAAATGAGAAACAAATCGTAAATAAAATATTTTTTCATTTGAAAAAAAGTTTCAAGTAAAAAAAAGGAAAAAAAAAAAAAAGAATCGATCGGTAAAAATATTATTCGTGAGAACAGGCCGACCGTTTTACACGAACGACGTATGCAAATTTATCCGATGGAAGCGGACCAAATCGAGTCCATTTACACGTGCACGTTGCACACGTCATATCCTACGTCACGAACCACGCGAATTTTAATTAATACTTTCCTCAATATTCCACCCTTGCTCCTAATAGCACCGGTTAAAACCTCGACAAGGTCGAAGAACACGTTATATATATCGAAAAATTATGCGCGTTATTTCCGATATCTCATTCTCGATTGATGGATCACGATTATCGATTGCTAAATGCGAAACCGTCGGTGATGATCGGAGCGATATATATGAAGCGTATATGGAGAAGGTGGTATTCCGATCTTTCTAAAATAGAATCGACGAACTCGATTCCGACCGAGACCAGAACCTTGGCCCCATAGAGCTTACATCCGTTTCGTTGATAAAACGATTAATTAAGCAGTACGTGGACTAAATATCTTCAAATATCGAGACTTCAACGAAATCGATTATCAAACGAATGCTATTTTAACCAACGTGTTACGATGTTACGTTATAATATCTAATACGAGGATGTTAATGAGGATGATAACAAAGAAGAATCTCTCCTTTAATCGAAATTAAACGTACGTATGAAAAGATCTGAACCGAGATCACATATTATATTTGCGTAATGTAGAAGGAATTTTCTTTATTCGGTAGAAGATCGTGGACCGACGACCTTCGACACGAGGAAGAGAATCGTGTTTTGAGTGCTTCGCGACCTTAGACAATACGACCTGTACACAAAATATCCACGAGCCGTGACCACTTCTGCGAGCCGAACGAAAGAAGAAAGAAGGAACAAAGAAGAGCGTAGAGAGAAGTCAGAGGCGACAGAGAGAGAGGAAAAGTAAATATAGGTATCCTCTCGTATTATTGCACCGGATAAACGTCAATGCCGTTTAGAACCAGTTGTAACGTTTCCACGCTAGATTCCTGGCGTCGATTTCAAACTTGAATATTTTCATAACAAAAACAGTTGCTCGTCAGAAAGCTCTAATTGCACACCGGAATCTTTATTTTAAATATTTATATACCTTTATACGAGTCTCGTGTTCCTGTTTTCAAACGGTAACATTTTTATTTCCTTTTTTCTTTTTTTTTTCCGAACAAACGACAAGAAATATTTCGACAACAATAAAAAAATTCAAGAAAATTTTTATTCTACTCACCTCTGACCATCTGTGCTGGAATGTTTCCTGTGGATGAATTTATCTATTTCTCTTCTCGTCTTCTCGATTTTTCTTTTTTATTTTTTATTTTTTATTTTGATTAAATAAAATCGACCCTCTAAACCGCTGTTCGACAAATTCTCTTGCTTTGGGAGCGAACGATGCGTGGAAGAGCGAAAGACGAGTGGAAAAAAAGATGGTTTCAATTGAACAGTGAACGAAACCGACGAGCGGACAGAGAACGCGATGTTCACCACTCGCAAGACTCGCGCAGACTGACTCTGCTCCGGCCTCTATTGCCGCGCTACAACCTCAACTGCAGGTTACCGCTTCAACGGAGAGAGAAGGGTGGATGCAACCGACAAATTTTATTTCATACCCTCCCCCCCACTTTCTTATTCTTTCATACATTCGATAAACCCTCCTCGCTTCGATCATGTGCATCTTACATCCATACTACATCCTATACACTCGAACGATATTCCATTGATAGAAAATGCGTGTATATCAACCACGAACACTCGTATATCGATATTTGTCGCTAAAAATATCCAATTTTTTTTTTTTTTTTTTTTTTTTTTTTTTAA